TGAGTAGCAGGAATACGTTTCCTCCAGTAGATCGTGAAGCCTCTTACACTGGATTGCTTAGATCTTGACATGCATCTCAATATCCTCTGACTGGTAGTTTTTCCTTTATCCCATCCCTCTCTCCTTCCCTCTGGCCTCCCTTCCTCCCCCCTCCTCTTCAATTGATATTGATAATGCTTGTAATGTCCAGCTCTGTTCCATCCATAAAGAGCTAGAAAATAAAAGAGCTTAAATTAGAGGTGGTTTAAAGCTCTAGACGGGAGAGGGCTGAAGGATGAGGAAGACTGATCATATTGTTTACACATGGACCACTTTCCTCCGCCACTGTAACGTAGATCAAGTCCCAGAACTATGCGGAGTTCCATTCGAGATGCCCTTGCTTTCTGGGCAATTTTATGATTTGTCTCTCAAGTGTTATTTCTTCCCTGGGATCTACTAAGCCTATTCTTGTGCACAATGAACTTTTCAGTCATCCCCATGAGCATTAGTTTCATTTGACACTATTTATTCTCCATTTGTAGACTATTTATAACTAGATTAGAAACCTATTAAGGTTAGAGATTTAATCTTCTATGCCTGTGTCTCTCTCCCAGTACTTTCGGAATAAGGCACAACATGGGACTCAATAAGTGCTTACTGAAAATACATTTGTCGTTTTCTTTGGAGGTGAAAGAGGAAAAAATACATCCATTTTGTTTGAAATGTAGAAGCACATTTAAATGACCTCTTGAATAATATCAAGATAATTTCACTAGATAATCTCAATTATTTTGCATTTTGTTAAGGTTGATTTTTTTTTGTTAATCCTCTCCCAAGGATACCTTTTTTCAATTTATCTTCAGATAAAGTGTGATGGGGAGAGAGAGAAACAATTGATGTGAGAGAGACACATCGATGGGCTGTTTCCTGTACAATCCTGACCAGGGCCAGGGATCAAATCACAACCGAGGTATATGCCCTTGACCAGAATCGAACCTGTGACGCTTAGTTCCGTGGGCTGATGCTCTAACCACTGAGCATAACCTGGCCAGGGCTGTTAAGGTTGATTTTTAAGATTTAACACAAGTCAGTTTTTTTCTGCATGCTATAAAAACTTACTAATGGTTTTCCACCAGGAGTAAAGATATAAAAGGATCATTTTTAGAGATTGGATGTTTAATTCCTTTATCGTTTCTATTATTCCTTCCATCGTCCTTCAGAGGTTTGTTGTGCTCGCCCATGGAAAGAAAAACCACCAGATTCCTAGGGAACGCGGATTAAGGGGTGTAGGGAAGGAGAGCCCCGCAGTTGCTGGGAAGGGGCACGGACTGAAGGAGGCAACGAGAAGTAACATTTCTGAGAATAAACGCATCAGAAAAGCTGTTACAGTATTTTTTGCATGCTTTTAGAAAACGAATTGGTAGGAATTTGTGTTGAGTTTGTGTTCTCTGATAACAATAATTTGCCTTAACTTAGTGGTCTTTATGCTTAGAAAGTGAAATAAATGTTCCTCCCATTTGTCCACAAGGAAACTGAAGGATGCCAATATTAAGATTAAGCAATCTATTCAAGACCACATTGATGGTAATTAAGCAGACCAAGCTCTTCTCTGTTTGTTTTTTTTAATATCAAGTCTTTGGTTTTAGACTCCATGTACATATTATTTTAAGATAATTATATTAACCTTCCCTGAGAGAACTCTCTGGCCCCTGCTTCATTTACTTTGGTCAAATAGATGTATTATTTATTAAACCCTAATTGTTAAAAACCAAAATTAGTTCTTTATTCTCTGATATTCAATATGTCTTAAATGATATTCTTAGTTTTTATGGGTTATTGTTAGGCCATATTTTAATTTAATTTAGTTTAACTTATCATTACCCTACAATTGCCTCTTCCCTTTTTATTTTATTTTTCTTTGCAACTATTACTGATTTCAGCAAGCAAGTAAAGGAAATAAGGTTTGTGGAGTATTTTACAAACATCTCCCTGAGTAATTTTGTAGGCATTATTTAATATAATAATATATCTCAAGGCATTATCTTATATCAACATTCACTCAACAAAATTTTATTAAATGACTACCATATGTAAGGTATTGTGCTAGAATCTGGAGACACAAAGAGAGATAAGACATATTTGTGGGGTTTGTGGGGTTCTTTTCAGTCAGGGAAAGGAGAGAGACAAGACGGATAAAGATGAAAAGATTATAGGCGTTATGCCGCTTTGATTGAAGTACACAGCTCATGTGTTCAGTCACTGAATGAAATGCAGGCAATTTTAGGTGCTGGGCAAATGGTAGTGAACAAAATGCAAATATATTTCCCCTCCACAGAACTGACCAGTTAGCAGGGATCTTAAGGATCATGAGAAAGCAATCATATGGAGGTACAAAAACATACATTCAAAAGGTGACCTTACTTTCTGGGTCTTATTTAAAGGGACAAATGAGCTCAAATTAGCACAGCAGTGACCATTTGGAGTCTTTAGAAGATCACTTATATCAGTTCTATAGCAAGATGATTGCATGAACATTGCAAGTGAAGCTACTTTTCAATCTGTAGCCTCCTAGCCTTGAGGTGATTGATGCCGAGGTGTCTGCGGAGGATGCCAGGCTTCCACGGTCTGGGTTCTCTCTAGATGCAGCCAGTTCCTAAAGCTGTCAAATCTCCATGTCCACACCACTGTGAAAGATCAATTCATTTAAAGCTAAATAGGGTAGAATGGTACAATTTGTCTCACTTGATTCAGGAGTAATGTCTTCAATTCTGTAGTGTATGTTACATCAGAATAGATTTTTCTTTCTTAAAAGAAAGATTCTCAAGGATGTCAAACTTGTTTTTACTGTTGTTCAGTCTTTCAATCCCAGCATAAACTAAATGTCTTATCCATCCTGTTCATTCCTTGCGCCAAGATGTTTCCTGTAACTTCTCCGTATGTTAACTTTGGTGAGCTATAATCGTTCAAAATAGACCATATTTTATCAAATAACATTAGCACTCGGGTGGAGGGATTGAACAAAAAAAAAAAGGGTGGGGTGGGGTGGGGAAAGGACCCTTGGCCACTAACGACAGTGTGGTGATAATGGGATGGGGAGTGGAGGTGGAAGACGGTATAGAGGGGATAAATGATGATGGAAAAAAATAAAGAAAAAATAACATTAATGTTATTATTGTTATTTAGAGGGCTAGATTTTCTAAATGAGCACAAATATCTCCTCTTACAACCTCAAGTTTTGTTGTGAAAACAAATAAGATAATTAACGAATGTGAAACATGCTATAAAAACATCAGAATGTCAAAACCTGTGAACAATTTATTCATTTATATTGTTAATTTAAAATAAATGACTAGAGAGTTGCAAAGAGGGTTATCTGTCTGTATCCTTTACAAAAACCACTTATCTCTATATGTTTTCTTCTATTATTGGTTTTTGTCCCCAAAAAGTACTTTATTAATAATCTATTTTGTTTATTCGGTAAATAACTATTGAGTGTCAGCACTCTGCCGAGCTCTAAGGAAATTGACATGTAAAATAGTCCCCATCCGATAAAAGTGAGAGAACAAAAGATCATTGTGTTAGAGGTTGGTAATCTAAATGACCTCTTCACAATGCTTCTTAAACTTGGAAATGTGTGGACTACTCTGGGAATCTGTATTTTAACAAAGGCCAGGGGTTTTGAGAGCTGGTGATCCTTGGACTTCACTTGGAGAGAGTCTCTTTGTGAACTTTCCCTTTAGCAGAGATTTCCCCAAGTGAGAGTCCCATAAGGTTTCTTTTCATCCCTTCATCTGCTCATCTCGATGTCATGTTCTCAGGACTGCAGCTTGGATTCACTAGGTCCAAGTTCATTTTACTACCTTGACCTCAAGTAATTCTTCGTAGTGAGGTGCAAACCCTGTTGGGGTCTGTTGCAGCGAGTCTCCTGAGAATTACACAACTAACTGTTATCTCACCCAAAGACTGGCTCTAATGGTGGGAACTTCTGGAAGAAGATAATGAGGGAATGCCCCTCTTATGATAATAAAAGAATGCTTTTAAACAAGGTATTAAATTACATCAGCTGGGAACTGCCTATCTGTAGGGAGCTACTTTACAAGTACTAATTGTTTAATCCTCATAACAAATCTGTGAAGCAGGTGCTATTATTCTGTCCATTTCACAGATGAGGACACTGAGGCTCAGTAATTTGCCCAGTATCACAAAGCTACTAAATGGTGAAGCAGGGATTTGAACTCAGGTGGTCTGGCTCCAGAATCTGGTGGCCGAAATCACTATACTAATACTAACTTTTTCTTAGTCAAAAGAATGAGCTGTGGTCTCTTTGCTGCCACCATTCATATCAAAATGACTTTCAGTAAGTTACACAAATAAACAACAAGCAAAAATCAGCTAAAACGCAAAATAAAACAATACAAACACTACATAGGATAGTTTTCAGTGTGTTTTCAAATCAAACATGTATTTGAACTTCAAATTGCAGAATAATTTTAGTTAAAAAAAAAAAAGAGTCCAATAGAGTCATAACAACACGGTAATATACTTCATGTTTTTTTTTTTAAAAAAATTATGATAACTTCTTTTAATGTGTTCCCCAATCCCCACAGATATATACGATACTACATCATGAGCATGAATATTTGAGTCAGAAAGTTCAGTCTTATGATTGTGGCCTGTCATTTACTTGCTTGATGACCTGTGGCAATTTGCTTACTTTAATTAATTGTCAGCTTCTATGAGATAAACATGACAAAACAAGGTTTGGTCAAAATTATATGAGATAATTATATAATACGCTCAACCTAGTACCTGGAACATAGCAGTCTGTCAACTATTTACTAGTATTATTATTAGTAGTAATTATTATCAATAGTATTAGCAGTGGTAAATTTAATAAGCTTAATAGAATACAATATTTTCAGACAATATTTTCGGTGAAATGAATACATCGTAATTATAAAATGATTATTTGCTCCTTTGAAGATGTCTCTTTCTGAGGTGAGCTCCTTTTTCGTCACCAGGTGATCCACCCAGCACTCCCCGCCTGCTAGCCCTGGCCTCCCAGCTGAGAGAAAGCGCTGAGCTCCTTCAGTCAGACGCCATGCGTCCTGCCAACGACCCCAGGGAGCGCGCCCCGGCCCGTGTCCGGATGCTGAACGACATCCTCCAGGACCTGGAGAAGAGCTTCCTGGTCCCGCACGCGCCGCCGGGCTTTTACAGGTAGGACATGTTTTTATACCCCTCAATTAAATGTTTATGTTTAATTTCTTAAAATATTTATATTCTGTGAACAAAATTTTCTAAATTATAAGATATGTATTGTATCGCCAATTCAAGGACTATTCTCCTCCCCCCAAGAACAGTTCAGCTGCATAAATATAGAATCAAGGCAACTTGGTTTAGCAGTATCACAAAGAAAATGAATGTTTTGTGTTTTTTTTTTTTACATTAAAGTCAGTCTGAGGTAAACATGGCATGGATATTGAAAAAAACAAGTGGAATCGTAGGTTGTATAGGGAGAAATAAACTTTCGTGAATGAATCGGAAGATGAACGCATGCTATTCTGTCCTAGTAGGATAAAATCTAGAGTCCTGTGTTTAAATCTAGAAACTACATTTTTTTTTAATTTAAAGTTTTTATCGTTGACACTATGGCCGATGTCCCCATCTTCCCCCACCCTGCCCACCTCCATGCAGCCCCCGCCCCGCCTCCCTTGGCCCTCCCCACTGTTGTCTGTGTCCATGGTGTATGCATATATGTTCCTTAGCTAATCCCTTCGCCTTCCTTACCCCAGCTCCCACCCTCTTCCGGTTTGACATTTGTCAGACTGTCCCACGTGTCCACGTCTCTAGTTCTATTTTGTTCGTCAGTTTATTTTGTTCCTTAGATTCCACATATTGATGAGATCATGTGATACTTGTCTGTCTCTGACTGGCCTTATTTTGCTTAGCATAATCCTCTCCAGGTCCACCCATGCTGTCGCAAAGGTAAGTGTTCCTTCTTATTTATATCCCTGTAGTGTGGAGACTACACTTTTAAGAGGGAGTTAAATAAGTGTAATATTCTGGGTAGAGTAAGATTTAGATGAATCTTGAAATGACTAGAGGAATAAAGATATTTGGTTGGAAGATCACAATAGTGTGATTTCTGAAAACATTTAAACAAATATTTTAGTAAAACAATTTTCATAAGGTAGGGGACTTGATTTAGGCTCTTTGAGGATGAGCTGAGTGCAACCTGTCTTGGTTTCTGAGTTGCTGGTGTAGTAGAAAGAAAACTAAGAGGGAAAATGCTGTTTAAAAGAGTATTACATATTTAAAAATTTTTAAGTGTTTGATTTTTTTATAAGACACAAAATATATACAACCTTTCTGTATAATAGATTCTAATATAATATGTGTATGCGTTTAACAATTATGTATACAAATCTATGTATGTTCTCTATGTGTATGTATATGTGAGTAGGTATTTATATATGTATATGTGTATATATATATGCATGTGGGTATATTTTTATGTCTATATTATTTAGATACTATCTATCTGTCTATCTATCTATCTATCTATCTATCTATCTATCTATCCATCTTTCTATCTATTATCCATCTATGTCTAGTCCAGGGTTTATCATGGGATAAGGCAGGAGATAAATTGGTGTTAGAGAAAAAGTGAGACAAGAAAACTATTTGGCCCCAAACTCTCATTCATAAAGGGCCTCAAATGTAGCATTAACATTACATTCGTCTAACTACCTGTCTAAAAAAATAATACACTGGACTAGACATACTATGTATTTCCAAAGGATATAACTAGGAGTAAATAATTCAAAGGTAGCAATGCAATTATTAATTATATATGAGGAAGAATTTTCTAACATGTAGTGTTTTGTGTTTGTTTTTGTTTTTTTATCCTCACTAGAAGACATTTTTGCATTTATCTTCAGATAGAGTGGGAGGGAAAGAGGGAGGAACAGAGAAAGAGAAAAACATCGAGGGGCCGGGGACAAATGCAACTGAGGTACGTGCCCTTAGTGGGAACTGAACCGAGGTCTCTCTGGTCCGAGGACCGACACTCTAACCACTGAGCCAAACTGGCCAGGGCACAAATAGTGTTCTTAAAAACCAAGTATGATGCTTTGATAGGGTGATGAACTCATTGTCATTGCAGGTATTAGACTATAAACTGAGAGCCCTAAGCATCTGAATATTTGGATTACGTAAGGTTCAAGGTGTCTAATAGTACAAAAATTTCGTGATCTGACAGATCATTTGATCTCTTCACACCTTAAGTTTTTACATCTATAAAATGAGATGATGGAATAAGACCCTTTTCTAATAAGAAACATTTTATACTTCTGATATTTGGTGATTTTTCTTTATGATTTAAAACCCAAATTCACATTTAAAATCTTTATTTCATATCATTTCTGCTAATACTATGACTCTGGGTCATAACTCTTTGAGAAATGTTCATTTATTAAAATAGATATTTTTTGCCGTGGCCTGTGGACCTAAAGTCATGGGTTTGATTCCGGTCAAGGGCATGTACTTTGGTTGTGGTTTGATCCCTGGCCCTGGTAGGGTCGTGTGAGAGGCAACCAATTAATGTGTCCCTCTCACATGGATGTTTCTTTCTCTCTCTCTCCCTCCCACTCTATTTGAATATAAATGAAAAAATATCCTTGGTGAGGATTGAAAAAAAAAAAAAGACAAAAGCAGCCACTTTGTCTGCGTCAGGTACTCTTATGAGCATCAGAGCTATTGAAGTCGCCTCAAGTTAAAAACACCTGCCCTGATGAGGTTATATTCGGGGATGGGAATGGGGAAACAGAATGAACAAGCTAATTAAGTAAAATATAGTATATGGTAAATGTAACAAGTGCTAAAAAGAAAAAATAAACCACATTATTAAATCCAGCATTTTTAAAGTCTTTATCAAAGTAGCTAAATTATATTTTTAGAATGCTATGCAAGATAATTCTATTTCCTTCACTTTTAACTCACAAAATTTCAAAAATTAACAAAACTATACTAAATACATCAATATTTACATTACATAAATACATTAATATTTAGTTTTGTATATTATTATACAGCAATCTCTTTCCCCATTTGCCTTGTATGACACTTGCAATAGATATAGAATACTTTTTGTGGTCTGACGTGTCTGACAAACATTTTATTACCCCTTCAATAGCATTTATGGACTCAGTTTATTTTATTCTTCATTTTAAATAGAAAGAAAATGTTTGTTTTGTTTTGAGTTAACAATGATTAAGCAAGTGATTTTTTTTTTCTGTTACTAATATGATTATAGGATACCTTGTGTTCTAGTGTATAAGCTTGAAAATGTTTATTATGATAATGTTCTAACTTATATAGCAAACCTTAGGATTGAAAGCTTATGGTTAAATGTATGGTTACTACTATAGTTATCGAAGGAATACATGCATGCTATTTTTTTCCTTGGCTCTATTAATTCATATATTTGACAACAGTACAAATAGTTTAAATACCTTCATTTTGATTTATCTGACTGAGCTTTATCCCAAGATTGCTATGAATTTTACTTCATTAATGAAATATATAACAAATCATCCTACATTTTTGTCTTGGTAAAAAATTCACATTTCTAAGTATTCTGAAGGCCCCCTTAAAAAAATAAAAATTATAAGACTTTATACTCTCAAGCCTTATAAGTTCCCCTTTCATGGGAGAGGAAATGTTCAAAGTCAAGTGGCGGATGTGACAGGATGACATGCAGTTTACGAAAATGGCAAAGTTAGTTACAGATAATATAACTTGTATCGAGAGAAGAAAACATTGTTAATTACATTGAACTAAAGAACACTTGGTGAATGGATGTAATTTTTTTAATGTTAAGCAACTTTTAGAGATGTTATTCATGAAAGGATCTCACTCTTCCACCCGATGGTGTTATGACAATTTTCATCAAATATGCAAGGAGGAAGTAAAAAATAATTTGCTTTTTAAGAAAGTTGACAGAAATTCCCTGTATAGACTTAATACTGCATGTGGAAATTTGGTTTTGTCCCAAAGGATACTGCCTTAACACACGTGTTACTAAACACTGAGCTATATTATTTTTGGAATATGCAAAAAATTTGTCCTCATAATTTGGCATCATACAATTCAAAGATTTTGAATCCTATGATGTTGGTCTAAAACTAACAATCATTCCTATAAATTAACTTTCACTGAAGATTGTTGTGTGCAAGCATACTGATGGAAACTGGCAATATAAGATCTCTACCTTCAAGGAATTTAATTTAATTTAAGGTAAGGTATATTAATCATAATTTAAATAAATTTGCAGAACACTTATGCAAAGTGCCCAATGTGTTCTACAGGCTAGAAGTGCTGTTGGGATTCAGTAAAAAGAGAAATGTTATCTTCTGGCAGTCAAAAAAGATTTTTTAGGGAAGGGTGTCTGGATCGAATAATAAGGTGCCCAATAAACTAGGGAGTGCTACAGACTGAATATTTGTGTCTTCCCCAATTTATATGTTGAAACCTCATTTTTATATGATAATATTTGGAGTGTGGCCATTAGGAGGTGATTAGGCATGAGTGCAGAGGTATAATCCCTCAGGAATGGGATTAGGAACCTAGTAACCTTATTAAAGAGATCCTCACCCTCCAGCACGTGAGGACACAGCCATCTGAGGACCAGGAAGCAGACCTCACCAGACATGACTTGCTCTTGGACTTCCCAGCCTCCAGAACTGTGAGAAACAAATTTGTGTTGTTCATAAGTCATCCAGTCTATAGTATTTTCTTTCCTCTTCTTTTTTTTAATCCTCACCTGAGGATATGTTTTCGCCGATTTTTAGAGAGGAAAGGAGAGAGAAAGAGAGAACATCGATCGGTTGCCTCCTGTATGCGCCCTGACCAGGGATTGAACCTGATGCTCCAGCCAGCCCAGCCACAGGCAGTGTCTGATAGCAGCCCAAAGAGACTAAGACAGGTAACACTTCCAGGAGTGGACAACGTGAAAAAGAAACAAAGGCGCGGTTGCCCATGATATGCTGGAGAGCAGAAAATAAGGAATGAAGATAGTCTAAGTGGTTATTAGGTTCATGATTGCGGAGAGCAGAAGGAATCATTGCAGAGTTTCTTCAGTCCTCTGTTGAGAGATTTGGGCTTCATTTTTGTATGCAAAACAGCCGTGAAGAAATCTGTGTCGTGCGGAATAGGTA